TTTGTTCCATAAGGAACAAAGATGGATATCTATCTATCTATCTATCTACTTACACGTATGTATACACACACACACACATACACATACACACACAGGACAACAAAATTCTGGAGTTTCTTTGGGCAGTTTGGGGGAAAGAACATGCATTGGGAAGAAGTGTTTGAAATGCTGGAAAATGCAGTGTATTGAGTAAACTGCCAACTTCAGTTCTTATTTTTTCTTATTTGCCATCTTTCTTTGCATCTAAAAGTAATAAACTAAGATAAAATCTAATGAGAAGAATTTGATTCTTGGTTGAGAAGGCTGTGAAATTGAGGAAGGGAAAGGTGAAATTGTAAATCCCCATTACATCAAGCTTGGGATTGGAGAGAGCAGTGGAATTCTGTCCCCTGTCTCAAAGTCACCACTCCATAGCTTTAGCTCCCTCCGAGGCAGAGGGAAAGAAGATCGTCCCTGAGCACAGTGAGAAGGAAAGAAGGGACAGGGGAGAGGGGCTGGGGTGGGGAAGAACAGATTTTACAGAGCATTGCTCTAAATCCCCTCCAAAACTTACCTGTGACTACTTGGAATTCTTTCACTACTTCTGGTCACAGATAGGAGACTGTCAAGCCACTGAGTTTTTGGATTTGGAGTCAAGTATAGATAGGGGGTTTTTAATCTGATGACTTATTTTTAAATTTGCAACTTTACATGTAAATCTTAAATCTCCATGCGAAACATCAAAAAGCAACAAGTAAATTTCGGTGGGGTATGTTTTACGTGAAATAGTACAGAGGATATGAAAGTGACACAGGTGAGGCGCTAAATCTACCAATCCTCCTTTACTCTTCCTCTCCCATCAAATATCTGATCTGGCTGCACAATTGTGCATCTTACAGCTATTTCCAGAGTCTCTCCTCTCTCCCTCCCATGGCAATAGTTCAGGTTCTCCAGACTGGACAGCTGCACCATGAAATAGCCATTGAATGTCCACTCTGTATCACCCGTGCTAAGTGCTTAGTTAGAATTGAAAAAGATCCACATGAGTGCCTGCTTTCTTTAAAAAAAAATTAATTTTTTCTTTTTAGATGTTCATGACAGTAGAGTGTGTTAGGTAGTGCACCATGATCAAGTGGGGTTCCTCTGGGGATGCAAGCAGGGTTCAACATATGGAAATCAATAAATGTAATTCATCACATTAATAGACTTAAAGATAAGAATCACATGATTATCTCAATGGTGCCTGCTTTCTTAGAGCTTTTGGTTTGTGGAGAAAACAAAGTAAACAACCAGTTACATAATATATTATAAATTAAAAGATGACAAATGCAAACAAGTGTAGGAAGCCAGGGAGGAGACAAGGGTGTGCAAGGACAACTCCCTTGGGAAACTAGTGTGGGCTGAGCTTTCCAAGGTGGAGTGGAAGTAACCTGGTGCAGGGAAAGCCCAGGTTCACGGAAGAACATTCCCAATGACCTTGAGGCAGGAAAGACATTTGAAAAGCTAAGAATGCTAGTGTGCTGGAAAGAGAGAGGAAGAAAGGGACCAGGCTGAGGGGAGAAGCAGTGCTGGACCCACGAAACTTGCAAGTTGAAAAAGGTTTTTTCTTGGCTAACTCACACTCATCCTTTGGAGTTGAGTTCGTGTGTGTCCTCCTCCAGGCAGCTTTCCTTGGTGTCCTCTCTACCTCTCCACCTCCAAGCCATGTCCAGTGCTCACGGTTCATCACTGCACAAGACGCAACATAATGCAAGTACTGTCAGTTCTCTGCGTCCTCAGTCTCCATGTCTGTGGATTCAAAAAACTACATATGGAAAGTATTTGAAAAAACCTTTGGCTCCGCTCTGAACGTCTTCAGACATTTTTTCTTGTAATTGTCCCCGAAATAAAGCAGTGTAACAACTATTTACATAGCATTTACATTGTGTTAGGTATTACGAGGAATCTAGAGATGATTCAAAGTATACAGGAGGATGAATATAGGTCATATGCAAATATTATACCATTTTATGTAAGGGACTTGGGGGTAGACAGATCTTGGTATCTGCAGGGGGTCCTAGAATCAATCCCCCACAAATGATTTTCCATGTCCCCGCCCCCCCCCCACCCCCGGCACTTAATGGGAAGCTTGCTGTGGTCAGAAAACAAGTATTTTTCATCTCTAGATAAGCCCATATTAAAGTTTTCCCAATATTCTCTGAGGAGAGATATTGGATGACAGTAAATACATAACTATAGTCCTGGGGGTGGGGAGGTTAAATTATGAAAGACAGAAGGTGCAATCTGTGATATCAGGATTTAAAAAAATTTTTTGAAGTTCATTTTCAAGAAAGTGTAATTAATACAGGTGTTTAGAACTTATTTATATTTAAGTAGATATTTATGGGTATTCAAAATTAAATGGGAAACATTGTTTTATCATAATCATCTCCCCTCTCCAAATGCATGCATCTGATTGATAAAGGAATGAGAATCTTGAAAGTGAAGGAGGAAATTTATTTTAAATCATATGGCTAAAAAACGGTGTATGAAATATGTTAGTTACTAGAAGACACATCAAATGAGAGCTACTGCTGTCCCAGCTTCCACCCTGCTATTGGCTGTCACTCTGGGCTGCTTCTCCTCTTTACCTGTGGGTTTCCTCTGAGTCTCACTCCTCAGTCTTCCTAGTGGCCACCCCTGACCACTGGAGATGTCTGTTGGCCAGGCACGCATGGGTTCCCTTCAGAGAGCCTTGGGTGTCATTTACATACCTCGACAGAGCCCCTGTGGTTTCTAAGTGTATTTGAAAGTGCCCCAGGTCAAATCACAAGTCACCTCTGTACTGTCAGAAAGGAGGCCATCTTTGTCTCTGGGGACAAATTATAATCAGAGATGACTTTTCCCATCAAGGTATGCCTGTTTCTATCAGACTTTCACAAAACTACAGTGTATCAGTTTTAAACTTCCAATAATCATTTAAGATATTAAAATTATTTGGGGGCTCAATAAATGTTTGCTAATATACTATTCATTTTGATTATACAAAGGACCCCAATTTGTTACATAGTGAACACAAATTACACTAAGAATGTGGCCTTCTTGTCATAAAATCAACATAAAACTAATATGCTGGCTCTAAAAAGGCAGGTTTGTTATTAAATTCGGCAGTCTTTTTTTCAAATATGTGGTTGTTACAAATATATTCTGAAAACTATATATTCTGAAAATTATGAATAATAATAATAATAATAATAATTATTATTATTATTATTATTTTACCCCATCATCCTTGTACATTGTGGTAAACAAAAACACTGAAAATCATTCCTTTGACCTCAAAACTGGACTTTTCTTATTAGTCTTTAGTTCCTCCTTTTTATTTAATTTTTTCCTTTCTGTGTGAATGAATAAACAGCTGAATATTCAAATGTAGTTTTATTTTAAGCAAAATCAAATTAACAACTGAGAGGCAGGTTCTTGTCCCACAGGCACAGTGTTTTGTTTTCTAGTTACCATCCCCTTTCCCTACAGTGGAACTGGAGCTAGAGCCAAAGGCCTGCTCCGGTCTCCCACTCCTGGGAAGTTTTGATGAGGAAATACACTCTGGAAGAATAAGATCCCTGAAATCTTAATGTGTGGACCTGTACCAGTTGTAGTTGGTTTTGTTGTAAAAGATCAGTCTTCTTTTCTACAAGATATAATTTCTGTCCACTAGGTCTTCATGACTTATTGTTTTAAAATTTGATATGTCAAATACACAAAGCATGTAGTGATTAACAAAATTAATTCAGTCTTCCAAAGCCTTTAAGAGTCACTTATAATTTTATTGAGGCAAGAAAATAACTGCATAATCCTTATATTATCTCTGCCCCCTGGAGAAAATCAGCAGAGAGCCTTCAAATTTCTTTTTAGACAATCCTGTCTAAATCCTGTTACAATATAAATACTAATAAGGAAAGAAATACAAAGGAATGGTGACTACAGAGGGAGACAGAGGAAGAAAACATACTGAGTGGATTCTCTACAAACTAGGTAGTCAGTACTAGCACCATTTTGTGTGGGGGGGGGGCAGCATGTTTATTTGGTGTGTGTTAATTCCTTGATTTTGCATAAATATTAAAAAGTCTATGCTCTTCTGAGGTTAACATGGATACAGAATGACTTTATAAGAAAACAGTTCATTGATGACTAAAGATCTGAATTGGCTTAGTCCAAATTTCTGATCGAGATATCCTGGTGAAGAGTGTTCAGTATGTTTTGATCCTGGCAGTCTTCATCCCAGGAAGTATATCTTACCTCTGGCTCCCACTTTTTGTTCCTGTCCTTGTCCTGTCATAGAAGAACTGATCTAAATATTTCCTTAGTTATTAAATAAATTGATTTTTCAAGGGTTGCAACGAATTGAGACAAATCTGCCAGTGGAACGTGTGTATCTTGCACTTTGATATTATGTTAACCTGGTCATTTGAATACGCAAGACAGATGGCCTGTCTCTTTGCTACAGTAAAAATAGAAGTGAAAATACAGGGGAAGAGCTAGGTGATACAATCATTTCATCTAAGCCAAAATGTTGTCTGAAAGAGAGCTGGTTATATGTGGACCCTTAAGATGGTTGTCTCTTTGTATAAAGTTAAATAAAAATAATTTCATTTTTCAGTACTGTATAAAACAGTATGTGTGCATCTAGATAAGTTTGCAAAGGCTTGATTGATTTTAAATTTATTTCACTTATAGGATAAGGTATGTCCTGATTTGTTTCTTTGGAAAACATGTTGAAGGGACACAAAAAAAATGGCAGTCAACTTTCTTTCTGTGAACAGATTGCTGTGCTATTATATGTAGATGCCCCAAGGCTGAAGTTTCTTTAAAAATTTATTTTTAGACTGCTTGAATCTCCAACCTCCCACCATCCCCCATATGGCAAATTCTCATGGTGCTATTTCAAAGGAAATCCATGATTGGGATGTGATGAAAGGAAAGTAACATTCAAAGACAAGAAAAATAAAATTTATTTTAAGAGATCTTTATTTTCTCAGGAAAGTTATTTAAATATAAACATAAGTAACATATTAGCCTATTTTTCTTCCAGTCAAAATTAGGTATTGGACTCTGTGCAGTATTATACTTTCTTAAACCTACATTAATTTTGCTGGTTATCATAGTTGGATGTGAAATATTGTGAGTGCGTATGTCTTTTTAGCTCACTTTATAGTGATTGCTTGGGAAGCAGGAACCATGTTTTAGTGTTTGAAGTCCTAGGATGCTCAGCTTATGCATAGAGAGGATGGTCAGTTATCACCTAGTTTTGAATACAACTTTCTGGACCTTTGGAGAAAACCAGTTGCTAGTAGGATAGCTTCATTTCATTTTATTTCACTGTGAAGGTCTACTTTCAGGAGATTAATATCTTAATCTTTTGTATTTTGAAAGATTTTTAAGTTCATAGTACACATGCAAGAGCATCGTTGCAGTGGTCCTTCCATAGACATGAGGTAGAGTGGGTGTCATGGAGATCTTGATTTCTCATCTAAACTCAGGAGCTGATGCTCATCTCACAGGACTTGCGGGGCCCGGTCTTCAGTGTCTGGGTTCTGCACTGGCCACCATCTCAGTGTCTGGAGATTGGAGCAGCCTAAACACCTAGCTGCAGTGACATAGCAAAAAAGGGGACATTCAGCCAATGTATGTTATTATTATTTGTAGCACTGCAAGATCTATCATTGTCATTTAGGATGAAGCCATTGTGAATGTCCCTAGACGGTCTAGTTCATGAAAAGGATGGATAAAATACTACCTGGTGAACAAACAACCTCATAAGATGAACTGTCTTTAAGAAGCGATGTCTGGGAAATTACACCACCATCCTTCAGAGAGTGTCGACAGTAATTTCAAGCATGGGGACGCCTGGGGCCAGACATCAGGAGTAGGTGTTGTAAACTGTAAAAAAAACAGCCCCATCCAGAGATCACACTTGGCATCCCTTTTGCACAGAGCTCAAGGAGAGAGATATTTCTGAGCCAGATTTTTCTTGACTCTGCACAGAGCTTGCTATGGGATGCTTGGTATTTTAGTTTCTCATGTTTATTCTGCTTTTCTGTTCCCCAAACAGTAGTCTCTGGAACCACTGAGGCCGTGCACTTACCCCACTATGCTGTGACATCTCCTAGGGAGCTCTAGAAAACAAATGTATGATGTCTGAGCTCTCCCCAAGAGGTTCTGATTCCTGGGTCTGGGATGGGGCCTGCACATCCATATATATTTTATGAAAGAGAGCCAGGTGATTTTAGTAGTGCTGAGGGACCCAGGGTTGAGAACTGCTTTGCAAAGTATTAAGAGGAGGAGCACAAGTTAAGGCAGCAGAACAGCTGACCAGGGCCCCGGACCTGGCAGCTGCAGTGACATGGCAGTAACTGCAACAGCAACAGGGCAATGACAGAGTAGCCAACTGGGCAGAGAGGATGCCTAGAAACAAGATATCTTGCTGATAGCTGAAGCTCCACCTGGCCCCAGTCAGGAGCACAGAATCATTCCTCAGGAGGTTCACACTCATTTGTTCCGTGAGTGCCACCTCCCCAGCATGGTGCTGAGATAAGGCAGACAGAAGAAGACAAGACCTCACCTCTGCATTTGAGTAGGAGAGACTGACAATACAGGAGCAAGATGGAAACATGAACACAGAACAAGGGACACATGGGAGACAGTGCTCATTCCACATGAGGTGGGAGCTGTGTGATAGGAAAGAAAACATATTTCTAAGTCCAGCAGGTGCCTGGGGTGGGGTGGGTGGGGCCCAGGTGGTGGTGATGGCCGTGGGAATTAGTGTGGAGGCAGAACAGCTGGCGTGTTCTGAGAACTCTCAGTACATAGTGGGTCAGGATCACGCAGTAGGTCCCCTCAGCTATCCCTAGTATACAATGGGGACACAGGAGAGGGGCTCAGGAAGGGAGTCCTGGGATCTGTCCTCCCCCACCCTGGAGAAATTGCTCTGGGCTCAGGGTGGATAGTGCATTGGGAGGGAGCACTATGACACGGACAGGACCAGGTGAGAGAATGTGAGTGTCTGAACAAGAGCAGGGCAGGTGGGGTGAGAGGAGGTGGCTGATCAGTGAGATGTGGAGCATATTTCTTCCCCAATTTCTTTGGGCTCCTCACATTGACCCAGTGGCCCTAGTGCCTGTGAGTTCAATTAAACCAAGAAGCAAGGAGGGGCAAAAGATTAGTCTCTGTTGAGTGATCTTTGTGTTCATGAATCAAACACTGAAAAATGTGCAGATAACACAATTCCTACTCCTCAGGAATTTACACTCCAGGATATTGTAATAGATCACATCCCCCAAATGCATAGTCATGCTCAATAAAGAATACTCTCCCCTCCCTTTGAAAGGCAAGCCTGGATTGGACCCAAAATGTAGGATGGAGTTGGTTAGAATTAGATATTTCCTGAAAAAAATCCATCAGGATATGTCAAGTGGTGAATCGATTTTTCTGCTCTACACTTTAAATACAGGGGGACATTCAAATGGGGTAGGAAGGAAGGGATGGGGAGCTTGCAGCTAGAGGGGCTTTGCAAGGAACCCACTCCTAGTGGTCTTCCTCCCACTCTCAGGATCTCTCCAGGAACCGTGGTTCCAGGTTCCTGGACATCTAATCCCCAGTCCCTGGCAGAGAGAGGCACCTCCGGCCCCAGGGCAGCACCCACAGGCTTCTCTGGCCAGTCTCCTGCTATTGGTATCTGGTTATTTGTAAAATCCCAACCCCTTCTCAGAGCTCCTTGCTCCCTCTCACCCTGCTAACAGTAGTCACACTTTAAGAATCTTCTTGGGATTCAAAACATTGTCAAGTGCAAAGAAAACTGTGCCTTGGACCTCTGAGCTCCTTGCTTCCTTTCTAGGGGAAGTATCAGTCAAGGTTCCACTGTTGGATGTCACTCCAGGAAAATATATCAATTTCCCAGAAGAAGAGCTTGTCCAAAAAAAAAAAAAAAAATCTTGGAGGGTGTAGAGAATCTGTCTCATTTAGCAAGATAAAAGCCAGTCTAAGTGAAAAATAGCACTTTCAGGGGACTAGAAGGGACAGCTCTGTAATTGTTAGTGACTGAGAAAGGAGGAATTATCCTGGTGATGCTTGTCTCTTGGTGATGGGGGACAAGTGACAATGACAAAGCATCATCACAGACCTGGGAAGCCTAAGACAGACACCAATTACTGCAGTCTTGGTTTCTGGGCTTGTCAGTATGGCACCTATAAGCTCATAGCATCCTTTAGATCCTCACAGAATATAGATTTGGAAATGGCAAATATTTTATTAAAAAATAAAGTTCTTAAATAAGTTGTTAAATTTTAACTTGTTAACTTTTAGGAATTTGCTGTCCTCTTTGAAAACCAGAAAGTCAGGCAGAAGAGAGATGTGATTCTAATATAGCTTTTCTTTGCCAACAATGTGATTTCTCTCTAAGGAGAGGGGCAGATTGCATTGTGTACTTGATTCCTGACCGCTGTCTCTGAGCAGAACATTCAAATTCTCACACTCCATTTATGAAATTGTTGGAAACTTTCATAACCCACTCCTCAGTTAACTAGATGGGTTCTTCTCTTACTGTCACACCTAAATTCAATTCTAATGAGGAAATGAATGTAGCAATTCTCTCATTTGTATGATTTCTAAAGCTTATGATTTGATCTCCCTTGCAATAGAAAATATAGTTCAAGAGGAAGAAGTTGAAACAATATTAAGAGGAACATAATATAGACTTCCTGTGTTCACATGCAGGGAGAGCTGAGGCACGTATGACCTCTAAGGATGACTTGCTCTCCTTTGCAATGTGACCGATCAGTGGCAGTTCTGTCTTTGGTTTCCAAACATTTTGCATCAATGTGATAATTCTGGGATCTTGAAGAAATATATATATATTTATTATGGCCAGGAGAGTTAAAGAATATAAATACACCTAAGCTATATATACTCATGGTTTAAAAATTAGTTAATTCTTTGTAATATTTTTATGATAGGCAAAATGGAAACAACTTAGTTAAAATAGTTAATAAATGATGATACATTCATTCAATCAAATGTAATGTACTACTTAGATATTGAGGAAGGTAGAAGTAATAACTTTAAAAAAATGTCCACATTATAGGAAATGAAGATTATTACAGAATCATATGTAAGTCATAATTCAATTTTAATAAAAACAACTCAATCTCCCTTTATATTGTATGTAAGAACATATATAAACACATACATATCTAACAAGGAGTGGCTGTGTGGTATGTACACATATTTAGGGAAGGGTAAATAACTGTGAGAATAGATAGTAGGAAGGCAGGGGTTACATAGTTTCCCCTTCCATCTCTCTATGTATCTATCTGATATATACACATATACACATCTTTCTGTATATATAAAACAATAGACATCTAATATTTTGTAATAAAAAATGTTGCCAACCCAGTGGATGTATTTCATCAAAATAAATGTATTATATTTTTAAACCACTATCAAGTTAAGACATTTTGCTTAAGGCTACTATTAAAATGTAGATGTGTCTGAGCCAGGGCCAGAGAGCCTGATAATGATGCTATGATGTTTTTAAGGCCTTTTCATAGCTCCAACTGATTTTATTCATTTAGTGGAATGTACTTCAGTATTCTTCCTGAGTAATACAGAGACTAAAATTGTGTATTTCAGCACCCCAGAAGAACAGTCATTAGAATTTACAGACTATGGCTTTCTAAGCATGTTTTCATTGCCTAGTGTAAATATTTTGACAATAGCTTAGGTGCATTCATAACATTTTGCATAACAACAAAAAAAAATAACAGGTGCAGCAAATAGGGAAGCAAATTTCTTGAGGATACATTCTTAATTGCACATGCCTTGACTTTTCTAAAGGTATCATCATTGTTAGTATTTCTATTGTGGTGTAATTGGTTGCTATGGATGACATATGGCAATGAGAACCTTCTTTTGGTACAAAATAAGAACTGTATCCAGAAAATTCAGGCAGCCCTCAAGAATTACTCTATTCAAAATCTTACTTCCAGAGATGCCCCTATCATATCCCCTGGGTTGATGCAGTTCCCAGAGCTCTGTTAAGCCCATGTTATTAGTGGCCAGGTAGAGGTTAGGAGTATTATGGAAAACAAGCACTCACATTTGCTGATGTAGTTATCACAGACAGTGCTAACAAGCATTTGAATCCACCACTTACTCTCAGAGTATGTGACAGAGATGTGCTGAAAATGAGCAATTGCTAACTTGAAAGGACACATCACCTTGCCGTCTGTCTGTCAGGACCAGAGAGCTCAACAAACTCTTTTTTTCAAGTAGATGGGTTCCCCCCACCCCTTTTAATGAACATATTGGGAAATACAGTCTAAAGTGAACTTGTGCTTAGAAGAGAAAACTATAAAATGACTTCCCTATCATGATAAAGTCATTTGGAAATCAAGGAAAGTGGATTGTTCCACCACCCCCAGAATTTTCAGAGATACAATTTCTGTTTGGATATGTAAAACAAACCATAATATTTTATGTTAATTCTTATCATGTGAAGTCAGCTGTAAAATAAAATTTAAAGAATAACCTAGGCTAATACAAAAAGATACAATCTGAAGAGCATTTCATCTGTTTTGGCGTTGAAATTTTTGACAGGAAGAAAAAAGCAAGTCTCTATCATTAAATGAAATAAAAGCCTTTGGTAAATTAGTTCAATAGTACTTATGTGATCTCCTGCAGAGAAAACAATCAAGCCAAGTTAATTCATTGAACATAAAGTAAATATATTGTTTTCCACCCAATTTTGAGGTTACTAGCTTTGGAATATTCATTGAACATAGTTTTATAAAAAAAAAAAAATGCAGTTTTCTTTTGCAGGCTTTCCTTTTTCCGTGCTGGGGATCACACCCAAGGCCTTTGCAGGTTACAATGTGATTTTCTGATTGGATACAGGCTTATGGTTCTGTCTTTCTCTCTCTCTTCCTCCTTCTTCTTCTGGTTTTAAGTCACTTCATCTCAGTCACCCAAAATAATCTTTACAAACACCAATTACAAAAACAAACACTTAAAAAAATCTTTATAATCTTTACAAACACCAATCTGAAATCCTTGCATGAATCCAAGTGGAAGGCTGACACTTTAAAAATACTTACTGATTGAATCTTTATCTTGTACAGGATGGTGCAGGGTGTTTTGCTTATTCATTTAATTCTCTTTTAAGACAGATATGGATTTTATACTTTATGAGTTCAGTTACTAGGTTTGTAGGCTCTTGGTCCTTATAAGTGTTTAATGAAATTTAACAGTAAACATATTTTACTACAGAAGATATTCAATATAATCTCTCCTGACTGTTGAGATATGAGTCCTTACCTCTGACTTGGAATGCTATTGCTCTTCAGCATTCTTCTATTATTGATGAAAGAAAAGTAATGGACCCTCAAAAAGATTAAATGACAGGTGATAGATAGATCAATGACTGATGGAATACAGTACTACATGTATAGTAAGAGGTCAATACTTGTTGAACAGATGAAAAAAAGTATTCAAGGTTTGGATCTCAGTCCTGTAAAGTGTGCACACAATCATACTAGGCTTAGAAAGTCCAAAAGAGATCAGGTTTCTACTTCTGGGAACTAGTTTAGGAGAGTTAAACTATTTCTTCAGAAAGAGAAATAGCCCATTACTCTGACTTAAGGTGATAGCTAACTGAACTTGAACAATTCGCAGAAACCCACAGCAGGAATTGAGTTGTCTTGGATTCTGGCATTCAGGGTGTGACGCAGGGGGAAAATATTATCCATAAATTCTATATTGTTACATGTGTGGCAATGGAGCATTAGAAGTTTGATTCTATTTGTCAGTTTTTATAACTATTTCTAGAAATACAGATGTGAATTAATTCAAGTAGAAGTACTTGGAAAGGCAGAGTTAAATACTTGTGCCCAATTAAAATTCTTTCAGGAAATAAACTTGAACTCCCTTTTTGGCTCAACAATTCTGTGGTTACAGAATTGAATGTTTCAGAGGCTGACTCATTATGTGTTCTTCTGAGTTTGTAATATGTATTGCCTCTTAGCATTTTGAAAAAGTGACCACTCTGGTTTTGGTCAGTGGAATCCTTGAACCCTTAACTGTGTGCTAGTTGGTTATCACAGGGGGTTCAGGGTACAATGATGGGTAAGAGGGTAAGAAACCCTTTGCCTACAAGAGCTGACCCATTTTCAGGGTTTCTATTGATGAACTACATTAATGTAAGATAAGCAAAATACTAAGTTCTAGGAAATCGAGGGGTTTACAAAATGTGTTTGATGTAGACCTATTTCCCAAGGTATTGAATATCAAAAGTGGAAGGCAGACTTCTGAACACAATATAAACAGAGATACAAGAGAAGTAAAATTGCATGATGGAGAGAGAAAATAATTCATCTTAAGTTTTTAGGGTTTTTTTTTTATTTCCAAATGTAGAATTCCCTTCCTTGTCTTGCATGTGTAAAGATTTTTGAATATACGTGTTTTTAAAAATATTATTTTAATGCATTTCTTACTGGCAAGAAAATAAGAGACTACTTTGAAGACCAGGAAAAGCATGTGTAGTAGGTGTATAAACTGACTTTTGTGGTGTTATTTGCACAAAACTTACATTTTTTGTAATATACCTGAATATTTCTGAAAGTTTGTGATATTAGCCCTTAAAAAAGATTTGAAATTGTTTTGAAGAACTTATAGCATATCTATCACACTTTTTACTACAATGCAATTAAATTAGATAACTGAAAATGTTCTAAGCATTCAGAAAATTTAAAATACATTTCCAAATCAAAGAAGAATTAAGAGAAATTACTAGAAATAATGATAAAAATGCTTAATCAAACCTTGTGGGATATAGCTAAGACTGTGTAAAGAGATCGATTTATAGCCTTAAATTCTTATGTTAAAAAAGAAGAAAAGATAACAAATGAGCTAAATGTTCAATTTCAAAAGTAAGGGAGGAAACTCATTGAATGACACGTGCTCACGTAGATGCCACGAAAACTCAAGCCCTTTGGTTTGAGTTGGTGGATGGACTTCCCTGCAAGCTTCTGTTGTGGGCAGAACATCACTTCTGAGAGCTTTGCTCTTACGTGCTCTGCTTGCTCTTACTTCTATGACAGGGCTGTTGAGTATCCACTTTAAACATGTATCAAGACCACACAGCAGCCAAACTGGTGCCACTTACCTGTAATCTCAGCTGCTTGGAGGCTCAGGCAGGAGGATCGTGTGTTCAAAGCCAGCGTCAAAACTCAGGGAGGTCCTAAGCAACTTAGCAAGACATTGTCTCTAAATAAGACCTAAAAAAAAAAAAAGGGTTGGGGATGTGACCTCAGTGGTTAAGTGCCCCTAGGTTGTATCCCCAGTATCAATTAAAAAAACCAAAAACAAAAACAAACAAACAAAAAACTCCAACAAACCCACAACAGTTCCCAGGAGCAACAGTGATTTAGTGGAAAGGAAGGGCTCTTCCCAGACACTGTTGACAAAGATACATCAGAATCATTCTTGGCACTTACAAACCAAAAATGTTCAGACTCTATCCCTAGAATTGTGATTAACAGGTCAGAGTGGGCCCACAGATTTGTAATATTGACGTTCATCTGAATTGAACAATCAATTCATTCTGCTTTCACTCGTTCATCTGAATTGAACAATCAATTCATTCTGCTTTCACTCAACATTTTCCCACATCCTGACCCAGGCAGCCCTGGGCTAGTGCATGTTCGGGGATAATGACAAGAAAAATGTCTGTACACACGTGCTCCATTTAGATTAAGGGATGAAGGGTAAAGGTTCATGTTACCTAACAACATGTCCCTTAGATACAAAACACTAGTGATTCACTTATAAGTAAGGTATGTAACCCTTATCTATTATTATTATTATTATTATTATTATTATTATTATTATTATTATTTTGTGTGCTGCTGGGGATTGTGCATACTAGACAAGCACTCTACCAACTGAGGTCTACCCCCAGCCCTCAATTAATTTAAAATATACAAATAATGCCCACTCTTTCATCCAAAAATGGCCCATGATCCAGGAAATGTTCTACATTAGTAAACAGAAACACAGGGTTTGAAACTAGCCAAGTTCCTCATTCTTAGAAGCTTAAATTTTCAGAGGGAGGCAGAAAATTAACAAGGGAACACATCTAAAAATTACAGAAAGTAATAAGTGCTCTTATTATATAAAGAGAAAATAATTAGGATGATGTAACAAAGTAATGGGACAGGAGGCTTTAGACAGGTGCCCAGGGACAGCAATGCTAAACAGGGGACATCAGAATGGAGGTTTTGAGGGTCAAAGAGAGAAGGTCATGCTCATAACAGAGGTGGATATTTTCCAGGCAAGAGGTATAGCCAAAGCTTTGCCATAGCAAAGAACTCAGCTTGTCCGAGGTTAGTGTGTGTGGAGTGTATGTGTGAGGGACACTGCAGAGATGGATGCCCAGGGACTTTGTGTTCAGATAAGGACTTTATTTAAGCACAGTAGAAAACCATGGAAAGCTTGTAAGTGGGAAATGGTGAGGTGACATCAGGGACATTATGTTTTCATAGATGACTTGGACTAATGTATGGAGACTGACTGTTGGGGGGGGTAACCGCAGAGGTGAGAAAATTAGCAGGAGGCTACTGCCATGGCCTTGGATGTGGCTGGTAGCCGAGGGCATGGTAAGAAACAGGCCATGCTAGAGTATCTTTGGAGGTAAAAGCAGCATATTTGTGGCAGAGTCATGGGTTCAGAATGGCTATGTGACAATTGTAGATAAGACCACTGTGTCAAAAGCCACAGTGGCATCTCCTTCCTGTGAGGGTAAATTGCAAGAATGATAATTCATCTCACAGGTTCAAACTGCAAGTTCTTACTTGTCTTTTAAGACCATTAGAATAGCTATCACATCTACCTTGTTGTCTCCAATGGGTGAGACAGTGTTCCTGCCCAGGGATCAGTTTCCAGATACTGAACTCCATGTTCCAGGAACATTTATTGCTCACAAGAATATCCCCCTACATCAGAGGTAGAGTGAGTCTGCACTGCATGAGCCCCTAGGCATCTGCCTTAGGTGTGGGGCAGCTCCTCTACGGGTATCCCTGGAAGATGTTAGTTCCATCCTGCACAGAGGCAGCACCAGGAGTCCTCACCTTACCTAAACTTCTGGGACCTACCGCACTCATAAGGCTCCAGAGCCAACCCACCTCTCAGACGTTTGTTCTGAGCCAGAGTCTTTCAGAGTCCAGGTTGGAGTCCTGCCTCTCCACTAGTCCTCTACGTGGCTGGAGTCTTTTTGAACTCCTGTTCAGTCTCCAGAGAATCAAGGACTTTGGACTACCTAGAGGACAGGGTCAGGGGAGGGAGTGCAACCTAGGCTGGGACAACTGTGAGCCCAAGCTGGAATGGAGTCCACATATGTCTCACTTCCCCATTTCCTGCCTGGAAAAATGGTGAAATATTGGACAGAACTACAATTCTTTCACAGGGTGCATGTATATGACCTAGTAGAACATTCTTAATGGAAGAAAATGTAAACAAACCAGTGTGTGAGTCAAATGACATACCTATTACCCTCAGCAGTAAAAAAAAAAAAATGTATTTTATATGCATCTTATTTTCAGGTTATGTGGATCCTCCCAAGAGTATGACCAAAATTCTTTAACTGGAAAAACCTTTTATACAGTACTTGGACCTTTATGTTTATGGCACTATGCAAGGGGTCAAGAATAAATTTAGAAGCAATTTGAAGACATGATAACTATAACCATATATTTAACAGTTTAAAAATATCACACCAAAATGTGGATATAAATGTGGTTAGAATGTTAAATATCATGTAAAGAACTTATTTAGGCTCTTTTGAAAAGCGACTCTCAGAACAATGCATAAAGTGTGAGTCATGTACTTGAAAAGTAAAAATTAAAAAAATTGGTGTTTCACTGCATCTAACAAGCCATCAAATGTAAGCTATAGCCCAAATTCAGAAATATGTGAAAACTTAGGCATTTTAAATTCAATAAACAGTTTTATAAATGGCTTTTATAAATGCTTTTAGACACAAAAAGTGTCAAAACAATATATTTTAAAATGTTAAGAGAGAAATGTACTTTACAATGTTAACAAGAAACCTCTAGGAGCAGGATGTGGGATAGGACAGATAAAGGTGCCCTACACATTTTTATTCTATATGATTTTTTATTACTCAAATTTTTTACAGTGAGGATGTATTCAGGTAGTTTTTTTTTTGTTTGTGTGTGTGTAAATGATGCTGGTTCATATGGATAATGTTACTTGTAGATTCAGAAGCTTCGTTAATAAAAAAAATTATTTATGGAACAAATAGCGTCATGGATCCTCATGTTATCAAGCATCACAAACACATAATTCATGGAAGGTCAAAGCAATTTTCTGTTTATGCTGCAACTGCACATTCCTACCTGCTGTGAAATAAACCCAACCTCTCTGTCGGGTTCTGTTGATTCAGCTTGGCCATCTGGAGCAATCCAACATGAACAGTCTCAATGGAATAATGCTGCTTTGGTCAAGGTCTCTGCCGGCAGCAAAGTCTGTGGTGTATGGTGTTAATTACATTCTTTTCATAAAATAGCAAATCTTTAAGTATGGAGCTGGGTGGAAATGGTTGAGCACAAGTGACAGCCAAGATTCAGGATAAAGACAATTCCCTTGGAGTTCATCTGGCATCTCACTTGAGAGAGGAGAGAATCCGGATTCAGGTCAGCAGGCAAAAGGTTTGTGGGCAAGAAAGGACACCAGGCGAGGGAGCCTGGGAAGTCCAGGAAGTGGTCAGCCTTATTATTCATGAGTCCCGATGCTTCTGAGAACATTCTGTACCATGTGCACAGTTGACTTAGTACAAATTCCAAAGTCATTTTTTTTTATCACTCAGAATCTAATTTTCAGAGTAGACAGATAAGTTGATAGTTAAACATTTGTAAACCAATACATTCCAACCAAATCCACCCATTGGCCACGTGGCCAAAGGACATCATGGTGCTTTAGAGTCAAATTAGAAAGCTGCATTCTCAAGTCCAGATGGAAAAGAATATTCATTCAGTTATTCATTCATTTCTTTCTTTGTTGAAGAGCTTTTTGAGTGCCCACTGTGCGCTGGGAATACACACTATTAATAATAGAAAGGCCAGTTTCTGCCTTTATAGGGTTTACATTTTGGTGGAGGTGACAGATAATGAACAAAGAAAAAAAATCAGTGTGGATTGTGACAATGTTACAAAGGAAACAGGGTGACATGAAAGAAAGTGGGAAGAAACTGAGGAGTGGGGATCCTTCATATGGCTTAGGGGAGAGCAAGGCCTCTCTGGGGAGGTGACAGAAGTACAGATCCTACTGAAAGAGCCTCATCTAGACATCAGGAGGCCTGGTAGTAGGTAGACTCTGTTCTCGCTGGCACGTGGTTTCTGTCTCTGAGGATCTCCTACCCTCTATGATCTCTTTCCCCACCTGATATTTACCAATAAACTGAAGAACAACTTTTATGTGCATGTATCTTGAAAACTTTAAAGAATCATGCAATATTACTCCATTTGATTTTTGTAATAACTATTCTAGGTAGGTGAGATAAGGTTTGAAATTAGTTGCATACTGGCAGTTCTAACTACATAATTGGTGTTGCACAGTGCAAAATGAAAAAGCAGCGTCCTTTGTAAGAAATGATTGAGAATTTCAAGGTAGCAATGGCAGACAATTAAACCCAGTGCACCAGCCCTGTGTTCCTGGACAGGTTGCAGGCTCATGAAGGCTGACCCTGAATACTGCACTATCATCAGATTTGCTGGTGGGAGAATGTTATTTTTGGTTGTCTTTATATGCAAGGTGCACGTTTCTGCAAAATACTGAATTGTGAAATACTAGTTTTTATTCATGTGACCATATCGTTAAGTCTTATTCCAGAAAATCTGGTTTGCTTTTTCATTGGTGATTTTACTCTCTTCTTTCAATAACTTAAAATATGGGAGAGAATTTAGAGGGCCAATAACTTAAAAAATCTGTGGTGCAGTTGAGTTACTTTGCTGCAAGTTGTCTTGAGAAATAATTTTTTTTTGTGTGTGTGTGGAGGATAACAGCTCCTGATTTGAAATAAGAACACCTAAATGTGACTCCTGGTTCTGCCCCTGGATATCTGTGTGATCTTGAGTAAACAAATCCCTTCGTCTCCATGAACTTTCCATTTCTTCTGCAAACTCAAGAGCTCTCTCTTTATTTGTGTGTCAGGGATATTTTTATGGTTTTGCTAGACAGGAGGTTGGAGCTGTGGGTTCCTCACTCATCACTGATGTATCTTACTAATTAGATGATGATGCATTTAGCTACATTAAGGGAGACAGTTACTTCTGGCATTTATCAACTCTACATCAAATTTCTTCACTTGGACACTACAAGCACTGGGCAAAAAATTATATCAAATCAACACCTACCTCAGACCTTCATGAAGTCAGCCGTTTTAAAGGGAATAATTAATGATATTTAACACATTTGAAATGTGCTAAATCACATCTACCTGGACCTGAAACATTCTATCCTCCCGAATGGAAAGCCTGTATCCTCTAAGTGGCTATTTCTCATTTCCCCTTCCTCACAGCTCACAGAAACCATCTCTCTTCTTTCTGTCTCCACATTTATATTATGAATATTTTATATTTTATAATATTTTATATTATATTCATACAATGGAATCATATTGTAAAATATGCCTATCACCTTTTGTTCTGGGTTCTTTCATTTAACACAATATTTTTAAAGTTCATCAGTGCTGTAGCATGTTCCAATACTCATTTCTTCTTTTAACTGAATAATCTTCCACTGCATGTATACACCACAGTTGCTGCATGTCTACATCATCTGTTGATGAAACCCTGGCTTCTTTGTCTTTTAAGCTATTGTGAAAAGTGTCATTATGAACATGCCCAAGTATTTGTTTCAAAACCTGTTTTCAGTTAGTTTGATAGAAGTCAAATTGTTGGATCATATGGTAACTCTGTGTTTAACCTTTTGAGGGAAAAGACATGCAATTGAAAGTCAACTAAGTAATAATATAGCTTATTGTTAAAATAGAGTAATAGCAAGGAAACACTTTCATTCTTTTTCTTGCCTTTCTGTCCCTGATGCCAATTATTGCACTACTGCTTCCTTGAGATGAGCTGACCAAAACTGGGGACTTGGACTCCAGATCTGCTATCAGGACTCCTCCCAGAAGAAAGCTGTAATGAATAAGAGGGTGTTAGATCACAATTCCAGAACATTCGAGCCAAACTGCATTTTGTGTCTCCACCTTCTTCCATTCCATGATGTGAGCTTGTTGCTTTTAGTAATCCCTGAGTCAGTCTAGTGCAGAAAACTATTAGCCAAGGTTAATTAGCATCACTGAAATGTGAGTAAATGGAAGAAAGTGAGTCACGCACTAGTGTGATTTTACGATGATTATGAAGGAAGGGTAAATCAAATGTACAAATCTAAACTACAGGGAACATTTGAGCAGTTGAATCATAGGTCTGCATGAATATACTCCTTAACATAATTATCCCAGGGCATTGGCCAAACTATTCTCTTCCTGGAGCCCCAGCGGTAACCTCTCTAAACATACCAAATGAGCCCAAGTGCAGCACACGCTGGGAAGAAAGAGCAGCTAAGTCCCACTTCTGTTTCAGTGAGAGCTACTGCACATCCTGCCATTGGCTATTTTTTTCTGCAATTCATCCATTTTAATAAATCTTAGCTTAGAAGCCCAAGCAAAGCAGCTTGCAGGGAGTGCTTGGTATGAGGTGATCAAAGAGAAAGGACTGTGTTTCTGCAGCTCACCACCATCATCCTGTGTTTAACATGGATGAGTTCTTGCTGTCCAATCCTGGGTACCCTTCCATCTTACTCAGATTTATATTTGTTCCTTTCTTTAGTTAATTATTCGATTTTCCAAGTCTGCTCCAGGCACTATTTTAAGTGTTATAAGTATTTAGATAAGAATCAGAACGAACTGTTCTCAGAAAGCTTGCAGAGAAGAGGTTAGGCGTGCATGCCTGTAGCTTTAGCATGGCTATGAGGGGCAGGCTGAGGTTAGAGGATGGACACTCACCTCAGACTGCCTTAATTTGCCTCCTCCTCCACCTTGGCAGAGTTATCTACCACCTCTGTCCCTTAGGTCTCCATGTGTAAGATGGGGATAATGACAGTACTATCACAGAGGGTTATCTTGAGGAAAAGTGCTTAGCAGAGGAGTTGTCACCAGGTGAGTGCTACATAAGGTCTTGCTAAACAAATAAGTGACAACTATCCTAACTGAGAAGTTTGTCTAACGGGAGCTGGAAGGCAGACTTGTGTACTGGCAGATTAGAAAAGGCTTGTGGCAGAGGCTGCACCTGAGAGAGGCCTTGGAGCTTTGGCTAAACTCTCTCGACAATGTTCTTTTTTCATTTGAGTCAGGGCTACCTGCATTAGATAAGCAGGAGTTTGCCAAAATTTCTCTGTGCATTCTTTCCAAGTTTAATATACAACTAGCTATTAAAATTTGCTTTCTTAAAATGCTGAAGAGAAGAATTATTTTTTTCATAGGGTTGGGTATTTGTTCTGTTTGCTAGACTTTAGGTAACTCACTTAGTCTTTCTGACAGTGGTTTAAATCTGTTTGAAGTAGAAAGGTCTAGACTCACTAAATAAGCATTATGGCCTTTTTAAAAACCAATCTAAATTATTGTGATTAATAATACCACTATGTGTTTTAGTCTTGTATCTCATTCACATTGTTTATTATAAAGAGTTGAATACAACTCACGTATTAATTAGGCCTGCATTTTAGTGATGGGTTTTGCTCTGAAGTTTTATATTGTATAGTCTTGAATGAAGCTTTCCAAAACCATAAGACTACAAAAAATTCTGTTTGACCAACCAAGTTTACAGCATCTATTCTCATGTTTACAAATTCTATTCTTATCTAGTCACCGGTCCTTCTGTCTAGTTATTTAGAAACAACTATTTCGCCACTGTAGAAAAGTCAGGGTTCTTCCTAAAATACAGAAATCTATAAAGGGAATAGAACTTTTCTTGGGGGTTTGTGACCTAATTTCAATTAGGCTCACTACTAATATCACCCCATTTTTGTTGGTTCATATTGTGATAAATCCATATATTGTATTGTACAAAGAAAAAATCAAATGTTCCTTTGTCCTCTATGGGCAAAGATCATTAATGCATTTTGTAGTATTGTTGTGTTCTTTAGTCAGGATACAGAATACATGTTCCAGACATCAAAAGCCATTGGACCTGGTTTAAGCAGAAAGGGAAGAGAACAGGTTCTGTCGTCTAAATTTTACAGAACCTACCCACTGAATTGGCCAACTCATTGCCTTTAACATAATAAGGACACTAGGAAATCATGAAGCCGACTCCACCAAAACTAGCTTAAGAATACTCCTTGGCACTGTACGTCATCCATCACCAGTCTCTCAGCACCTACCAAGCTGGGGAATATACAATGGAAATTTTATTATTTTTTCAAGGATTTTGTAGCAAAGAACCACAAACTGGATTCCTTAAACAACAAAAACGTGTGATTTCACAGTTCTGGAAACAGGAATTCCTAGAACAAAGTGTCAGCAGGCTTGGTTTCTTTTGAGGGCTATGAGAGAGGAGCTGTGCCATGTTCCCCCTAGCTCTGGCATTGTTGGCCATCTTTACTCTTCTTTGACTTGTAGATGCATCACCCTAATGTCTACTTTCATGTGCACATGGCATTCTATTTGTGTCTGTCTCTTCCCTACATTTCCCCCTTTTAATTAGAACACTAGTCATACGGAATTAAGGGACACCCAATAACCTCATTTTAATTTTACTATCTTCAAACATTCTATTTCCAATTAAGATTACATTTAACAGTACTGGAGGTTAGGACTTCAAGGTTGTGGGGTAGGGGTAGGCACATTTCAACCATGACAGGACTTTGCAACAACTGCGACAGAACATACCCCACTACCATGCACCACCATTGTAATGATGCTACTAGAAAGGGTGCAAGTGAAAGAAGGGCCTTAGAATTGTGTTTTTCAGCTCTACCTTCCAAATCTCATGAGCTTACATCTGGTCCAGTGGAAGGTAGGACTTGGAAGGAACTGGTGCTGTAAATAAGTATGAGAAATGATTTAAGGTCTTCAGCTTTTCAGCTACTAGGATGCTATAAAATTTGTGACAAGGAGTTTAGGATGGAGATGTTTAGGCTAACATGGAGGTGGATGTGCCAATCTGTATTATCTTCCACTTAGGAAGTAAGAGATGCTGTGAAGACTCATGAGACAGTGAGTGATGGAGTTAAACAATAGAATCATTAGTTGCCAGTAGCTATTAAACTACTCTCAGTCCCACATCATGATTTATTAATTCTCTTTCTCAATTAATACAAGAAATTTATTTATGAACTAGGAATTATAAGTAACTAAATAGGCAAGTCATTTATTTTCTTTCCAAAGGGAAGAAAAATAATAGAAGCAAATCTCAATATGTTCTTGGACTGATTAATAGTGTGTACCCACCTTTTTTTCTAAATTAGAAATTTTAGAAACATCCTTAAACTTCCTTTCTTTCACTTCCTATCCTGGTATTTTCAATAAAACTTTGCTTTAAAGTGAATCTCAAATTCAGCCATCCCATTTCATTCCTATGGTCACTTTTTGAATTTAGTCCTTCATCACTTCCAGACAGATGCTTTTAATAGCCTGGTATTCTCAGCTTGAGGATCTTTTCTATCCCAGGCCTTCTTTCATGTTATGGCTACAGTTATTCTTTTTAAAAACCCAATCTGACTGTGTTCAATATACTTTCCAAGTAGCTATTGTTTTAATTATTGCTTCTAATGAGTATTGCAAAAGGAAATTGTTTTTATTTTTTTTTTATTTCTCTGTACTTTTCCTTAAGCTCCTGCTACATCTTAATCATTTGTTTTGACAACCCCCTCTGATACTGTATGTGTAACAAGCCCCAAAGCAATGAGTTCCAAATTAAATTATCATCTGCTAATTTCCTATCTGGCCACATAAAGCAAACTAAATCCAAAACTTATTTGTCTTCCCATTTCCTACAATGTTTTTATCTTTCCACCAGCACTACTACCATGATGAAGCCTAGTAGCTTTGATTTTATGATAGAACTTGATAGCTTTTGAAGCCAGAGTCCAATTTATCAGAAACCAAGGAAACTGGTTCTCTTTTCTTGAACTTTAGAGGAATTAGGTTTCAAAATGATACCTAGAGATGAAATATTCTCATTCCTAGGATAAGCTTACCATTCCAATAAAACAAATGAAAACCAAAGGAATGAAAATGCAAAGAAAGAATGTTTTCATTAAATCGGGCTATATAAGGATATGTGGTTCTAATCTTGCTATTTCAGTCTCTTCATATTTTGATGGCTTCTTTTTGCCTACAAAATCACCAGGAGGAAATCACAATTTTAAACTTTCATACTCCAGTTGGTGGCTTTAAAATATTAGAAGCAAAAATTGGTGAAACTAAAATATAAAATAGAAAAAATATCATATTGAAATGCTTTTATGCTAACTGCAGATTTATTGAACAATGAATATATATATATATATATAATATTTGATTAACAGAATTTGTAAACTTGATCTAATGAGCCTTTGTATAACACTGTACCCAATGAATACAGGATAGAAATTCCTTTCAAGTACACATGAAACATTTATGAAAACGTATAATGTTCTGATCCATAGAGTAAGTCTCAATACATTTTCAAAGGAGGGCAGAGGGCGTTATACAAATCATACAATTAAATTGAATGCATACTACATGCAAACGGAGAGAAAGAGAGAAATTAGATTTCCTAAGGGAGGTAAAACCAAGGATATATTGGTCAAGATGTCCAGATACCTGGATCCAAATACGATACTTCCTCATTCTTCCAGAGACCAGACAGATACCCAAACTTGTAAGCTGAATCAACAAGATTAGCCATACCCTTAAGAGAAGGCTATCTGTCAATAAAAGGCCAGTGAAAAAAGATCTGTTTGGAAGGAAATGCCTAGCTTTTAAAACATGAAGATAATCTCAGAGATAAGAAACACAGAGTTTTAAATTATAGTTGACTTTTTTATTCCTCTCTACAACTTGTCTGATGCTCCAAACCACAAGCCCATCTACGTGTACATGTTTTGGAGTATATGCATGTGAGGGGACATAGGAAAGAATTAAAGATTAACACTCTGCTAGAGAGAATGGTGCAGAGTATTTAGTTAGAAAAATCTGTTTAAACACTTTTTTTTTAAACTCTAAGGCTATGGTAGCCAAAAGAGCACCTAAGAAAAGTAACTGGAAATAGAGCATCCAGCACTATTGAATGAGTGAATGAATGAATGACAAAGCTCACTCGAAATCATAAAATATATTATAGTTGCAATTTCCTGATGGGAAAGATCTTTTTATACAATCTCTATTTCTTAGTTCATCTGGTCTATTGTTTAAATGAGAAAAATGACATATTCAGAGAGGCAATAATTACAGACACAGAGGAATAATAATGAGAATGCCATTTGGGCTGGAGGACTATCTTGTGTGTGACTTAGTTTGCTCTTTATAACATGGGAACTATCTCAGAGGCTGCTAGATATGAAAAAGTCCCAGGGTACCAGGGATGGGAGTATAAATGAGATTTTTTCCATCCACCTAGAACTGTTTTGGGTAATTCTCCTCCTTTCACCAGGCTTAGAGACCTTATCTTCCTGTTTTGTCAGGGTTTGAGAGACTCAGCTTCCTTCTGGGCATGTGGCTAGCAGAACATACAGATAGATCTCTAGTTGAGTGAACACTCGGCTTCCTCTTTATTAATTTGGGCTAGCATGCTTGAATCCCTAAGATGCCTGACTCCTGATAAACTGTGTTGTCTAATATAACTCTGAGGCCAGAACAAAGCTTTTCACTCTATTCTGAGAATTAAAAACACCAAAAGGCAGGCATCACGTCCAAAAGGAGGGAGAGGACAGACATCTTCTCTATCTGAAGGCAGACTGTTCCCAGGTGTCCTTACATCATATAAAGGACTACTTGTCATAGGAAGTTAAGGGAAAAAAAAGAAGGGGGCGGGGGAGATGTCTAAATTTTCTATGAGGGAATATGTCCTTGAGTGTCACATACTGAGTGATCAGATTAGCTCTCCTACTGTGGGAAGAGCACCAAGGTTTGCACAGAGAGAATAGAGCCTTGCTTACAGTAGAGGGATAAAACCTTCTTCATGGCTGGCTACCATAAGTGGAGGAGGAGTAACAGAGTGCTGTTCTTTGGATGTGGTTTGTCCCCCAAGGGCTCATGTGGTAGAAGCTTACTCCCCAGCATGGTGGTGTTGGGAGATGGTGTGAGATATTTAAGAAGGAGACTAATAAAGGTCATTGGGGCCCTGTCCTTGGAAGGGGTTGATATTGTTCTCATGAGACCCTAGTTAATTCCTTTGAAAGTGGATTGTTATAAAAGTATAAGACTGACTCCTTTCTGATCATTCTGTCTTCCTGTCTTGCCATGGTTTTTCCCTCTCCCATGTGCTGCCAACATGATGCCATTCACCATGTGATGCAGCCAAGGGGGCCCTCACCAGAGCTGTGCAGATGTTGATACTATACTTTAAATTTCCAAAACTGTGAGCTAATGTAGCCTCTTTTCTTTATGGCCATAGAAAATGGACTAACACACTGAATAACTGTGCTTCCTTTCAGCTGCTTTCTTTCAAACTTGGTTGAGAACTGTGCTAGTCAGCTTGTCATCACTATGACAAAATACCTGAGAAAATCAACTTAAAAGAGGAAAGATTTCTTTTGACTTGTGGTTTTGGAGGTTGCAGGCTATGGTATGCAAGCTCCATTGCTTTTAGATCAGTGGTGAGGCAGAAACATCATGGTAGAAGGGCATTGTGGAGGAAAGCTACTAACCTTGTGGCAGCCAGGAAGCTCAGAAGCAGAGACACAGAGAGAGAGAGAGAGAGAGAGAGAGAGAGAGACAGAGAATGTGTTTATCTGAGGCCTGGAAACTTGACCTTGGGTATATAGAGCAGGTTTTAAAAAATGCTTTTATTATTTCCTTCATTTTTCTGATCTTGAAACTCTTACTGTTTGTGCCACACATTTCAGTTTAAAGATGCTCTTCTTCAAGGACAGGAACAAAATAGGAGAGAAGTAGTTCTGACATTTCTCATCTGTTAATTTTGTGCCATCTGCCTAATTAGTTGATCTTTTTCTTTTGTTCTTAAAAAAGCCTTGTACTTGGGTATTTGCACAAATACTTCTGTCTGTCCTTTAGCCTCTAATTTCATTCTGTGCCATGTTTCCTCCAACTCCCTTTTAGCTTACTTACTTGAGCCTTTGTCTTCTGTATTGTGAACTTGTACTTTTAACACTCAACTCCTCAGAAGGCATCTTGTGAGGCATGGGCCAGAGCACCTTTCCACTGCTGGCAAATCTTATGACATTGTCCACTTTCTTGATTTCTCAGAGATTTAGTTCCCTCATCTGTAAAATGGGGAGGAGAATACATGACTTACAAAGTGTTGTGAAGATCAAATGAAATGATAACTGCAAAAGGTTTTGGTGAACACTATCAAAAATGCAAGGTCTTATCATCTAGGTTGGCAAGTAGTACTTTATAGAAGTCTATGGTCATAGGTTAATAAATTGATCCATTAAACCAACATTCTCAATTTATGGATTTTTGGAACAGATTTGGAGGGGTTTTTCAAAGTTCTCAGATGGAGGCTGCAGCGGAGAGAATTTAAAACACTATGGATAGTGACCTGTCATCTGAGCCGTCACTGTGCAAATGTGCTTCTGCTGCTAAAGTTGTGATTCCTTGGTGTTGAGTTTGAAACGACCCTAATTTGTCCACTGCTCCTCATTGCACATGTAACCATTTGCTGTGTCTTCTCCCATCTTTTCTCAATGCTGTCCTGGTTGACTGAGACCAACATTCCTCAGACAGCCTTGCCTGCTTTGGGTTCTTCTTTTAAATGCAGTTGAAGCTCATCTCTTCTTCTATGGTCAGAGTGGTTTTGTTTTTGCTTTTAGCCTTTTGTTTGATTTTGAGTCTCTCATTCTTCAGTTATTTGCCATTTACTGACCAAGGACTTCAAAAGACATCAATAAAATTAATAAATAAAGCATATGAAATGGAAGTGGGGAAAGCTGGTATAACTTTGTTTTGAAGAAAATCCATACCGAAGTCAAATGAACAAATATATACTTAGTGCCTACTATATATGAGGTCTGCTGAACTCCAAAAAGGATACATAGATGTGTAACAGAACCCTCTCTCAAGGAATTTATGATGTCCTAAAAGATATATTTTGTATCTTGTAGGTAAATAATGCTATTTTTCCCATGACTATTAATAATAGCTGCCAATTAGGGAGCATCTGCAGGTGGTAGGGGATTTCTGATGCATTTCATCTTACTTGGCATTAGAAATGAGTGCTGTTATTCCCACTTTATGATGGGGAGACTGTTTCAGAGTCTTCGAGTTGTTTGCCCTAAGTAACACAGAAATAACAATGACATAATGAGAACTTGAACGTATATTGTCCCACCTTCAGTTTGTGCTTTTTATGAAAGTTTCATAATATACTTCTTGTTGTAAATTACATGTCTGGCTACACCCAGTATTATGAAGTCTGAGATGACATGCCTGTGTTCTCTAAAATTTGATTCATCCAAATAATTAGGGATAGAAGCAAGGAACACTTAATTTTAGAAAATCAGCCGATGGCTAGATGAAATTCTGCCAAGAACAAAACTAGCCTGGAAGTTTCCCATCCTTTCTCTGGATCTTTCCGTCTTTGATATATACAGATCAAACCGTTGCTTAAAATTGCCTTTTAAGGTATTATAGTGTGATAGAATAGCTAATGCAAAACCTTCATATCTTTATTGAAATTTTATAACTACAACCAGTTACTACATTTTTTTTCTTAGCAGACAAAACATGTATTTAATTTTACATAGGATGCACCAAATTAGCCAGAATTTCCTGAACTAGACACTCTTTATTCTGTCTTGCTTTAGCCACTGATTCTTTTTGGAACAAAGGCCTCTTTCCCTTGGCCTTTTAAAAAGAAAATTCAGATTTCAATGTCATTGTAGTTTGTTAAAGGGGAACTGGGATCAGCAGAGTAAACTTGTGAATCCATAATCTTACCCTTGAGGTTGTGGTGTTTGTCCTGTGTTCTAAAGATGGAGAAGGGAGTAGAAAACACCATTGAACACCAACAGTGTCCCTGGGATCAATGATGAAAGAAGATGTTACCATGTGAGGGTGATCTGAGATTGGTCTGGGAGGTTTGTTTATTTGTTTGTACATAGTGGCATAACATGGATGTTCTTTTCCAGACAGAGGGATTAGCAGATTTTTTTTTTCTACAAAGAATGAGCTTCCACTTGCTGTTTATAAAGGTAAGCTATTTATAGAGCTGCTACATCTAAGCTGTCATATGGGGTCTCCTGCAGTGTCACTGACAATAGAATCAAAGGTACAGTATCATTGGCTCCTGTACCTCTGTCCAACAAAGCAGAGGGTTTCCTCTGAATGTTAGATTGGGCAAATGGTAATAAAACAAAATTGGGCATCCATTACTTCTATTCTCTTTGGGGTTCTTTTACAGACTGACTATAAGAATCTGACCTTTATGTTTATTTACTTGTCTGAAAAATAACAGTCATGGGCACTTCAGATTTACCTACTTACCTCCTTTGGGGTGCATTGAGGATTTAAGATTTAAACTCCTTAGTTATCCAAATGAAAGGTTTGGCATAAGCAACAACTATGATTAAGAAAATGAGTAAATGAACAGGTATTCCTGCTAGAAGATATTTCTGGAGTGAACTGACTTTACCTCTGGATTCTCCATGATGGAATCCAAGCTGGGATATAGTTTAATATTAAGCAGGTGGAATAAATTGCCTTTGTTCAGGCACTGAAGAGCTTTAGTTAATTAGGATTTGGTTTGGATCAAGGGAGTAAAGAGGTTTTATCAATGATTACTCTTGACACTTTTAAACAGTTTTTAAGTTCTTAAAATGTGCCTAATCCTGAATTTGAAAGAAAAGAAAGAATTATGGGGAGACAGTAAATCAGAAGGGATTATGTCCTTCCTATAAATTGCAACATCGGGTGTTTTAACAAATCTCTTAAGGCTCCTAAGTTAACTTTTGATCTTCTTACTGGAAAAAAATTGTGCAAGTAAGATGTGCTTCATTTTTTCCTTCTTGTCTATGGGATGTCAGAAGGGTAAGCCTAGGAATTTCACACTATTATAAAGCACTGTGGAAAGTAAGGAGAAAGAATAGAAACACTGACAAATGCTTGTTCCTCTGCAACATTTTCCCTGGAAGAATTATGTACTAAGTTATACATTTTTCCGAGAAGAAGAAATAATTGATTTCTTGGTTCCAGACTTCTGTGGCTTTAAATCAAGAAACATCAAACATTTACTCTATGTAGGTACCATTCCTGGGAGCTACCAAAATGCCAAAACTCAGATGCTGCACTCAAATTCCTTTTGTCTAATGGAGGAGACAGATGTGTAAGCACCAAATAGAAGGTGAATTAAAGAGTCTGAGTAGAAGTAGAACAAATGATGTGCTTGAGAAAAAGAGGAAGAAAAGATTAAATGTGGCCCCAATGGTCAGGAGAACTTTTGGGGAGGCGTTCACTGACTGGAGCTTAGGAGGGACTTGAGAGGGCATTTCCTACATAGCACTGACCAAACACAGAAGTACCTGTCTGGAAAATGATGAGAAGACTGTTGGCAAGGAGACCTGAAGACACCTGGTGAGCAGTCATGCTGGAGGAGGTTCCTATCAACAAGATCTATGAAGGCACTCAAGTATTTCAACATCTAGGCCATTTAGTGATAGGTCATCACTATGAAGTAGTTATTAGAGTTGGAAGCAATCATAAAAGTCACCTTGTGTTAGATTCTTGTTGCTGCCGAAACAAATTGCCATAAACATTGTGGCTTAAAGCAACCCAAATATGTTCCCTTATGGTTTTGTAGATCAGCAGACCAAGATCAGTTTCATTGGGCTAAAGTCAAGTCATCTGCAGGGCTGATTCCTTCTGGAGGATCTGAGAGGAGAATTTCTTTCCGGGCATTTTCAGCTCCTACTGGACTCTGGTGTCTGTTGGCTAATGGTCAATTAATTCCTCCATCTTCAAGTCCCACCATGTCAACCTTTGTTTCTGTCATCACATTGCCTACTCCTCCTTCTCTGACTCCTTGGGGGTCCCTTTTATCAGGATTACATTGGACCCACTCCATAGTCCAGGATAGTCTCCCCCTCTCAAGTTGAAGCCCAGTTACATCTGTGAAGTCTTTTTCGCCATATAAGGTAATATTCACAGGTTTCATGAATTAGAAAGTAGACATCTTGGAGGGCCATTATGTAGCATGCCAATAAACCCCCACATTTTATAAAGAGAGCTCATGCCAGCTTGGTCTCATGCATACAGGGTAACTAGTGGCAAAGCTGGACCTACAGATTCACAGCTCCTGACTCTCAGTTTTCTTCCCACTACACCATAATGTCAGTCTTTCATGCTTTCCGTGAAGAAATGGTGGTGCTCTTTGAAGGACAGATTCCCTCTGCAGAGAGCCTCAGCAAGGATCCCAGTCAGCTGAGAGTAGAACTGACTAGGAGTATCCAGAGAGCCATTATTTAGGAGCAGAGACGTCCATTCACCCTTAATGTTAGTGGGCAAGGACTATCCCAAGAGAGGAATAAATGTTCTTTGTATAACCAGAAAGGGATGAGGAACTTCTTCCACTGAATGGAGAAGAGATTGGGGATGGGAGAAGAAAAAAAGAAGTATGCAAAAAAAGGAAAAATAGACCAGCTAGATTGTAGAGAAGAGAAGGAGATATTGCAGTTGAGTGAAGTTGAAAAGAAAACCATGTCTATCCATCCCACAATAATGACACAATTGTGTGTGTGTGTGTGTGTGTGTGTGTGTGTGATGTTTTAGAGAGGAAGTATTCTCCAAAGACTCACATATTAAAATCTTGGTCCCCATCGCAACCATATTCAGAGGTGGGGATTTGGGTAGGTGATTGGATCACAAGGGCTCTGGCTTCATCAATGGATTAATCCATTCAGGGATTAATAAATGGATGGTCTATTGGGAGGTGGTGGAAATTATAGGAAGTGGAACATAGCTGAAGGGTGGGTCCTTGGAGGCATATTCTTGGTGACTCTATCTGTCCCTGACTCCTTCTTCTCTTTCTGGTCACTATGAGGTGAGTCCCTTTGTTCTGCTATACCCATCTGCCATGATGTGCTGCCTTATCACAGGTTCAGAAACAAGGGAGCCAACTAACCATGAACTGAAACCTCTGAAAGTGTGAGTCAAAACAAATTTTTTCTTCTTTAAGTTATCTTTCTCAAGTCTGTGTCATAGCAATGACAAGCTGCTTAACACAGTGTGTACATGTATTTCCAAAACTAGCACAATCAGAACCCTGTATCTTCATTAATGTCTAAAGTTTATCTTCTGTATTGTGTCATTTCTGTATGTATTTATATTTATTGTTCACAATTTATGTTCTTTATTGATCCTTCTCCTCTCTAACAGATTCCCAAGAGAATAGTAATACTTTCCCTTTCTTTGTAACCCCAGAGCACAAACAACTGCTTTATAGCTGTCATTTTAAAGGCAATATACAGAGTGTATGATACTACTGTCATTAGCATTTTTATTTGAAAAAGTTCTGAAAAAATTCCAACTTAATTTTGTACTTTGAAAGAAGAGCTTGAGGCTAATATAAAGAGCACATTGTTTCTGAATCTAATAAGGGAAGTGAAGATAACCAAAAAATAGCAAAGCCATATTGACATAAAGTTGGAAAGCAATGCAGGAGATGAAATGGAACGTTTGAGAGGAAAGGGACACTTTCAAAATTATTTATAACTACAAATGGAATAAGGGAAAAAAGAATATAAAATGTTTCTCGGTTATTACACCAGGAAACATTGCTGATTGATAGTACCAAAGAGGAAACAAACAAAAAAAACTGTTCCATCTTTTCCAAAAAGCGATCTATAAAAAGTTTCAGATCACATGGATTAGGAAGGAAGGAGATCAAGTTGAAAAGAATACAGACCATTATCAATATATTTATGAAGAAATATTAAATATATTCTAAGTTATAATTTCCTTTTTTTATATTTATTTTTTAGGTGTAGATGGACACAACACAATGCCTTTTTATTTTTTTATGTGGTGCTGAGGATCGAACCCGGGTCCCGCCCGCGCTAGGCGAGTGCTCTACCGCTGAGCCACAATCCCAGCCCTAAGTTATAATTTCTATGTCTTATAATTTGCTAGCTTCTTAAAGGTAGACAAGTTTTATGTTTTTGGTATAATAGGTACTTGGTAAATTTGTGATAATGACTATTTATAGTAACTTATCCTGTTGAAAATATAAAAAACTGATTTATTTAATTTAGAATGTTAATCTATGACCATTGACACAGACTGTATTAAAATTAGAAAGAATCTAGCACAATGTAATTTGTTTTTGAATACTTTATTTCAGGCAAATACCTGAAAAAAAATCCATTCAAATGATCATCTTTCTTGCCCATGGAAATTTTACCTATTCTTCAAGGTCCAGCATAGTGGATGCCTCTTCACAAGACCTTCTCTCATCCTCTAAGACATTTTTGCCTCTTTTAAATTTCTATAACACTTTATATATTTTACATTGTCCTCATAATTACCTTGACAAAACTTCTATCATGTCAATTAAATTAGAATTCTTCAAGTCCATGACTAAATTTCTACCTGTCTACACCAAATGTCCTAGTTAGCTACAGGTGAATTGTGTAGATGCAAACACAAGTATGGCACAGTTTAGCAGTGGTAGTGACCTTCTCTTGCTGTCTTCTTCCACCAGGCAAAAAACCCAGCTGGTGTCTTCCATCACCAGCTTGCATTGCTGTGAAGTCCTAACCACGTGCTCCTGAGCACCCGCTGCTGCTGCTTCTAGCCCACTTGGATGCTGAGTGAAATCTTTGGGGTTGTCTTTGTTCCCAGAATTCCAAAGTTGAATTTCTGTTTTTGCTTTGAATATACATAAAAAATATCTTTGGAGATAGGTGAATTTTTGAACTTGAAAAATCTGAGAATGATTAAAACGAAGGCTGATGCATGAAAATGCACTCCCCAAAGATATCTTTAAGTAATAGTCTTTGAATTTTTATAGGGTTTGAAGGAAATAAAGGAGATAGAAGCTATTGTTTAATCTTTTCTGTACTTATCCTTCAGAAGTAATATTCTAGTTTGTGAGCCCTTAAGAGCCCAATAATAGAGGAAATATTCTTAAGGCGTAAATTTTAAAAGAAAAAACTTCTAAATCCACCTACATTCTCCATTGTTCTTTCTTCCAAAGTTTTATTTAAGTGCAACTTATTTTTTTGTAGAGTTGAATTCATCTCTTAGCTTCTGAGTATTGCCTACCTACTACAAATCCTTAACAAGTGAATTATCGTCTTTAGCAAAACACATGATCATAAGTCAGAACGCTGATTTAAAATTTTTAATTTTAGTTCAACAATTGACTGCAGTATGGTTGTATTTTCCAAATATAGGCTGGTGCCAGTCATGGTATGAAGATGACTTTTTGCAGGGAGGAACATAATAACTATGTTTAAAAGTAAATGGATTATATATAGAGAAAGTTCTGTCCTTTTAAAATTCTTTCCAGTCCTTTCTTTCAGTGTTAGTACTTTTTTCGACCCTTTAACATTTGTTAATTTCCCTTTTTTAAAAATAGAAAACAGACCTTGGGCACAGAGTGCTTTCTTCATTTCAGCTGGAATGGCAATCACAGTACAATGTTTTTACCTACTTATTAAACACAATTACTTCTTATTCTTTATAAATGATGTTAGTCTTTAATTTATGCTTGGTTCCAAGTACTATTGAGTTCACTTATGGTATGTGATACAGTAGATGGGACACACGTGAGACACAGTGGGCCTGTGGTTACATAAGTGATAAAAACTTGGGAAGCATTAGTTCCTGGGAAATGTTAGGCCTGAGGGTTTTTAAACCTTGACTTTTTGGTTGATTTTTTTTAAACTAAGTCAACCAAATTATTTGGTGGTTTGAAGTAAGACAGATAAATCACTGGCGATTACCAACTTGCCCCTTATATTAATAAATATAACTGATCTTGAGATATTTATACCTAATGTTGATTTTTAAAGTAAAGAAAGTCTTTCAAGCTTCCCCAAATATAAGCGTCTACTGGTAACTCCAATCTGTCTTTAAACTTAAGGGAAGTCCCTGGAATTGGTCTCTTTGTATCCATAAGATCACAAATACAATGCCACTAAAGGCAAGGTATCTTGTGGTAGGGTAGGATTTGGTTAAAAAAAAATCATCATGTAGGTAATAAAAAAATGTTTGCATATTTACAAAAAGTATTATCTAAGTAAAATATTGAAATAAAAATTTTTTATCCAATATCTAGATTACAAAAAAATACATACAATACCCCCCATACCTCAGATATAAACATTTGGCATAGTATTGGCATAACTATGTTTTCTAATTTCCTACATTTTTAATTAAAAAAAAATATATATATATATATATATATACATATATATGTGTGTGTGTGTATATGTATATATATATATATATATATATATATACATATACACACACACTCACACACATATATATTTAAGTTGTAATTGGACACAATGCTTTTATTTTATTTTTATTTTTATGTGGTGCTGAGGATTGAACCCAGCGCCTCACACATGCTAGGCAAGTGCTTTACTGCTGAGCCACAACCCAAGTCCTCTAATTTCCTATCTTGTAAGACTAAGAATCACTAAATAATATTGACCTTGAAGCTGAGATGAAAGAGAAACAATTGCTCTCCCTTGATAATCTGAACTCATGTTAACAAACCATATGATGAATTAGTATCACTGTTAATACTGGCTGAACCACTGGGCTCCAGGTAACAGAGGCACAGAATAGTAAAATGCAGCCTTATGGAAGGATACCATGGGCTGGGAGGGTGCAAGGTGAGCCATAAGGAAAGCGAGATACGATGGAGGGCTTTCAGTTCACCAACCCACAGATAAAGGAGGGCTTTCAGTTCACCAACCCACAGTTATGGGGATTTGAATGAGGAAAAACTCTTTTTAGTAGAGGAATCAAAACAAAGGCCTAGAACCGAGAATCAATACAAAGGCATTAGAGATGGGCACTGAGGTATAAGTAGAATTTACAGACGGAGAGGGTATTCTGGATAACCCTCAAGTTTTTATTGAGAATTTGCTCTGTACCAGGAGCTAAGGTCACAAATATTAAAATATAATAATAAAAGTCTGTTATAGAAAAATGTCTTGGTGGGGGACAAGGATGTAAACCAATTGCTGCTATACAATGTGTTGACTGGTGTAATAGATCTCTTTAGAAGCAATTAGGGAGGAAGAAATTAGTTCTGCCTGGGGAATTGGGAAAGCATTCATGAAGGAAATGAGCTTTGATCTGGGCTTTGAACGATGAATGGAATTTTACCAGATGGAAAAAGATGAGAAATAGGTTCCAGGCAGCAAGTACAACATGTGACAAGACATGAAGACACTAAAGAGGGCAGTGGGTTTAGGGAGGGTGAGAACTTTCTCTGTGGTTGGAGTGGGGTGGGGTTGGGATGGAAATGGGGATGAAGAGAGAAATTACCTTGAAAAACATGTAGGGATTAATTTGTGAAAGGTTCTAAACGCCATGCTGAGAAATTTAAACTTTGTACTGTAAGAAATTTTTTAAGTCCAACAATGCAGTTCAGATCTTTGTTTGGGGATATCACTTGGTGACAGGATAGAGGTGGATACACAAGACATACAGGGGAGGGAAGGAGACACTATCTGAAGAGACGGCATCTTGCATCGGATGACACTAGGAGTAGGGAAGTTTGGGTGAATTGCAGAGCCTTGAAGGCCAGATGGAGAAACTGGCTTTCAGTTCTATGGCAACGCCATGCATTATGAAAATTAACCTCAAGAGGGTCTATGGAATAAATTAGCATGAAGAAACTCTAGGGTCAAAGACATAATTTAGAGTCCACTCAGACCGACCAGGCAGGAGATAGATACAGCATACACTATTGGTTGCACCATACATTCTATCTTTACCTCCTCCTTCTTCACTGAGTCTGGTTTTGCTCCATGATTTCGCCTTGCTTCTCCTCCTCCCATGGACTTCAAAAGAGGAAGTGCCATCTTCCGAGAGAATGAATCCAGCCTTGGATTAATTCACAGAACCCATTTCTAACCGATGACATGCAATAGAAGTACTTTAGGGGCCTTCTGGAAAATGTCTTCTCCATGAAGAGACAATCTTTTCTGCTGCCAGAGGTAGATTGTTTCCATGTGACACTGAAACTGCCATGCCACCATTTTGATACAATAAGAGGAGCTAGTCTGGACAAAAACAGTATTCAAGGAGTTTGGTTCCTTGATGATATTGAGCAGCTGTTTTAAACAAACCTGGAACTGCCTTCCCTTCAGACATTACTTTAAAATTCTTATTGTTTATGTCAACATGAGTTGGTGTTTCTAACACATGTAGCCTAAACCATTTATGTTAAAGCAAGAAATAATGCAATTTTGAATGAGAACTGAAGTAGAAGGAAAGTAGTGGAGGTCAAACACATTAGACCTAGATACAAACCTTTGCTTCAATAAGATTGGTGAGAACAGACCATCAACTGATTATCAATGGAAAGGAGAAATATGACCGAGAGTCTAGTGCTGCCTGGATCTTTGAAAGAATGGGGTGAAACACACAGACACATTTAAAAGATGAGCCAGCTTGGGAAAGAAGTTAACAAGGCAAATTTTTTGCATTCCTGTTGAGTGTCAGGTGAAAAAATGTGCAAGGTTCAGGACTAGCTTGCTAGAAAATAAGGCCAAAAGCCAAATACACTTTCTTTTCTTGCTGTGGATCTGGGGAAGTTCTGACATTATGAATATTTGTTCCTTACTGCACATTACCCTATTAATTATTCATGTTTTCATAAGTATGATTAATGGAATTGATATCAATAATGATAATGGAGAATATACAATGTAATAAACAGGCAATTTCTTTTTTGGGAAATTCAATTCATGATTTAAATACTAATGTTGGTGAAGTACTCTGATGTGATTTTAATTCACAAAAATGTCCCTATGTGTAGCACGGTAGGGAAGAAAAGTCACAAACCTGGTATCACACGTCTGTTTCTCCACTTACTTGGTTATTATTTGTTCCCAGCAAGTGCCTTAATTACCATGAACCTCAAATCAATTAAATTTTAAGTAGTTATCATAAAATTTACTCTGCAGGCTTTGTTCTTGGTAATGGTAATTACTGTGTGCACCCACATTTTCAAAATTGCTTTCACTGTTGTTCTCAAAGTTCTCTAATTTTTCAGTTACAGATTCCACTATCTATCCTTGATTCCCATTTTAGTTTTCTCCCCTTGAAGGTCACTGCTATTTTGAGAACCCTTCGGCTCCAGAAAGGAGGGGTCACAAATCTGTTTGTTGAACTCAAAGGCAAGATGTAGGCCATGCTTATTGTCAGGCAGGGTCACTGCCTCAAAAGTGTAAGTGTTTCAGCCATTTTGTTTTCTCTCTCCCCACAGGAGTGAGCTTTTAGAGTTCCGGAGAGCTCCTGTTTTCAGCCTCCATAGTTGGGCTGTGGAGAGATGGGGACCTAGAGGTATAGCAAGGCCCATGGTCACTTGAACCTACAACAAGGGTTCCAGGGCACCCTGTCAGAGAGGCCACTATTGGGATACTGAAATCATCAATTTAAAATTTTCACTTGTTCTATATATATTGCTGACCCAGGAAACTCACTAGGAATTGATTAAGCAAAAATAGAATTGGGGCTTTTCTTTTTGTGGTGTTGACTAATCTCACAACAAGGTTCCCCAAAACCTTAGTCAACGTTTGTACATTCTAACTTTCAACAAATTTTTTTTTTAGGTATCTGCTCTGTGCAAGGCACTAACATAGACACTCACAGATCTTTTGTCTTTTGTTTAAATAGAGGCTTTTTCATAAGTATGATTAATGGAATTTATATCAATAATGATAATGGAGAATGTACAATGTAATAAACAGGCAATTTCTTTTTTGGGAAAGTCAATTCATGATTTAAATACTAATGTTGGTGAACTTCCTTTTGAGAAAGGAAGTTGTTGATATACTTAAAAATCCATTTAACCCACCACCTTTCAGAAGTTCCACTTCTTGTTGGGCCACCAATAAGGCTAAATCTAAGTTTTATGTCTACAAATGCCTTAAGAACATAGAATCTTAATAATTATAACACTGAGATAAAGAGAACTCTGATCGCATCCATCCAGAATGTCAGAGATTAAGAAACTGGGAATAACAGGACTACACCTAGGTGACTCACCCAGTCCCCCGTTACCCTGTAACACAACTGCCTCACACACACATTGGTTTCCAGTAACCCAGGTCAGCAAGTGCTTGGTCCTGGTTCATGGCCTGGTTACTGATAGGGTTGACACATTTTAACAGGTATCAATCTTGAACACCTAGGCACATTCCCTTTTAATTTAGTTGTCATATATCCCGAGTGAGGACATGTGTGGCTTTTTATTTTTTATTTTTTTGTACATCGGAGAGCTGCCTAAAAATATGGATGTCAGTTTCTTTTTGACATTTCAGAACAAGTTTTCCACTTTTCTTGTGAAATTAAAAATCTTGATTTGATGACAACAAATTCATTATACAAAGTAAAATGTACTGGAAATATTTGGTCATTAAGTGATACCTTGTTCATTTAGAACCACTCCATTGGGGGTGGGGGGACATGTGCAGTAAATTTATTTTCCTCTTCCTGGGTGTAGCCCAGGAGGAAATCAAAACACAGTAAACACACTTGGGTGACTGGAAGGGAAAGCTTCAATATTTCTCTCCCAACCTGCACCCCATACTTCCTGTGTGCACTTGGGTTTGCTTACCTTCCCTGATTATATCACACTCAAAATGTGAGCTTTAGATGAATAAAGTAAAGGGAAATGAGACTGAAGCATTTATTTGAGTACATTCTCTGTCCACTTAAGTTCTTCCTTTTTTTTTAATAAAAAAAGCACACAGGCACCCACATATAAACATCACACTGTTACTGTATATGAAAATAAATGAGCTTAATAAATGCATATTCCAGTGCAAACCTTCATTAGCATGGAGATATTCTAAGCTGAGTGGGTTTTCTTGCATTTTTTATTCAAGGTTTCATGCTGAATATTGATATTCTGGAACTGTTCCTGGGAAATTGCACAGAAGCAAATCTGCTGCAATCTCTTATGGAAAATTTGTATTTGTATAAAATCCTAACTTCTTATTCTGGTCCACAAAGTCCTATATGAGCAAAGGGAGCTTCATCCTGGGGCTGACCTCATCTCCTGCCACTCTCTCTTAGTCTTCTTTCCAGGCACACTGGGTTGTCTGTCCTGCTTTCTAGCTCACCAAGATGGTTCCCACCTCAGATTCTTTGAAACTGTTGTGCTCCTCCTTGCCTACACAACTTGGCTCCCAGACATGGCCAATCCCTCTGAAGTGTCTCATCTCCTTGGGAGGCCGAGCCTGACTATACTGTTGTCCAATATATATATATATATATATATATATATATATATATATATATATATATATATATATATATATATATACAAACAAATGAAAATGGTGAACCATATGTATAATTTTAAATTTTCTAGTAGCCTCACTACAAATATGAATATAGAGGTAAAATAGTTTTAATAATACTTCTGCTTAATCTGTACAAAACATTATCATTTCAAGAAGTAGTATAAAATTATTAATGAGATATTTTGCCCCCTTTCTCTTATAGTAGGTCTTTGAAATCCAGACCATCTCTTAGAGTACATCTCAATTTAGACTAGTAACATCTTAAACACTCAAGAACTACATGTGGCTAGTGACTACTGTGTAGGTCAGCTCAGACCCAAAATTAAGAAATCACTTCTAGTCACCCTCTCTCTTGTTTCCTTGGTTTACTATTACCATAGAACTTATTTGTGTTTGAAATTATCTTGCTTGTTTAATTGCATTATTGCCTTCCTCCCATTCTTTATCTGCCCCCCACTCCCATGGCCCTGAAATGTAAAGTCTAGAAGACAGGGGTTTCATTTTATTCTTTGATGTATCCACAAAGATTAGTATATTGTCATTTTTCAATAAATACTCATTGAAATGAAATGAATAAGAAACCAATGCACTGTTGATGCAATGGAATCCACATGTGGCTTTTGATTTTTAGTCTTTCCTCTCCTGTGCTACATTTCAGATAGGTGGGATAATAATACTGACCACAAAAAATTGTGTGTCTTCCCTTCCCCTTATTCACCCATGTCCTTGCAGAACTACCCTGCGTAGTCTGCACCCCAACCCAGGGTTGGCTCATAAAAGAAAGTACTTTCAGTCGTCTTTTAAGCTACTCTAAAGTTAGCATTCAACTCAGAGGAGCAGGGACAAAGGATACATTTAAGCTGTATATGGTGGTACATGTCTGTAATCTCAGTGACTGGAGAGGCTGAGGCAGGAAGATTGCAAGTCCAAGACCAGCCTCAGCCACTTAGTGAGGGACTAAGCAACTTAGTGAAGCCATATCTCAAAATAAAACAATAAATACATAAAAAGGACTGGGGATGTAGCTCAATGGTAAAACCCCCTGGGTTCATTTAATCCCCAGTTCAATAAAAAATACATATAATAAAATAAAATTTAAAAAATCAAACATCTGGACTTTCCCCTACTAACTATTACAAAGGAAGTCAGGCTACATGTTGTGTTTCTTATACTTTAAGCCAATGGGAGGAAACCCTGAATCTGTGATCAGTTGCAGGCCTTGGAATTGTCTCCTGGCATTCTGGGAATTTCCCTCCATCATTGCTCTGGAACAGTCTGCTCTGGTTGACAATGGGCAGCAGCTGCATATTTGTTTGTGCTTATTACCTCCATCTGTAAAAAAGAAAAAATCACAATTAAATCATAGCACAAGGCTGTAGAGAACATAACCACAGAGGACCTTAGGCCCAGCCATTAGAAGCAGTGGTGAGATTCACATAAAAAGTGGGCACTGACTTAGTACCTAAGCTTCTCTTCCACATGTAACTAGGACACCCAAAACATTCTGAGTCTGGGAAGGTGGGTCAGTATTGCAGGCAAAGGGTAAAAATCCAATGGGCTTTGAAAAGAATCATTGTTCTTTTTACTGTAAGAGAAGCTTTTGCATAAAGAGAAAAGTTTCTGAAGTCTTGTTTGGGCATTTAATTACATTAGCATGCAACCACTCCTCAGTAAAACAGAATGAAGAGAAGGTTGACCTACTTCTGTCCATTCCTTCCCTACCTTCTCTTCTCTCCTTTTCCTGGTTATCTTTGACATTGTACTCCATGATAAACCTGGCTGGTTTATCTGCAAAACCTAATAGTAGGGTTGTCAAATCTAAGCAGGCTGAGTTTTCAATTCAGAATTCATTCATTCATTTTGAAAATATGCACTGTACTCTTACTATGTATAAAAACTGATCAGTACAAACAGAATAAGACCCTTGAGGGGTTTACATTTCAGCAGATCACACATTTATTAAACAGCAGTTTAATTATTCAGTTACAATTGTAATCAGTGCCTTGAAGGAGAGGAATCCTGTGGTGTCAGAAGAGTTAATGGAGTTCTGATTCAGAGATCCTTCGCAGGGAGCCTTTCAGCTATATTCTACAGGAAGGATAGGGTTGAGTGAGTAAAGGAAGTCAGGGAGATTTTTTAAGAAAAGGAGCAACTCTGCATGTGCGGAAGCAGGAAGCACTCTAGCATAATTAAGTGACTGAGAAATGGCCCAGGTAGCACCCCACCTGGCTCCCAAATGGGGCAATAAGAACCAGAGTCGACTCTTCCTTTCTCCCCAGCAGGACTGACCATTACTGGCTTGAGTGTTCCTGTATATTTATTTACCTGATACTTATACCTACCTGATATGTGAAGCCCTCAAAGGTTGGGGTATTTTTCCATGTGCCATTAGCAATAGACACAAATCCTAATGTCTAGGTCTCTGTAGTCACCTGCTGCAGTTGCAGACACTGAACACCAGGGGGCAGGAAGCATTCTCCTGCATTTGCTTTGATCAACCACCAAATGGTGAAAACCCATGAACTGATTTTGACCTTAAATGTTGAATAAAGAATTAGCAAATGAAGCCACTATCATAGTTGGAGGAAACTGCCTTTCTAATTTTAATGGAGCATTCCCCAAACAACAACAACAAAAAACTATGAGTTTGTTGGATATGATTTAATTCACTCTGAATTTAACCAGAAAGCATAACTAATATGTTTCTTAATGAAGTTGTGGTATTCACATGGGTGATGATTTAAAAAACAACAACAACAAAGGAGTCATTTGAGAGGACTTCTTAAAATCTTGAACCAGGAAGAAATAAAGCACGAACAATATAAACATAGTCTTCAGCTCTGTCCAGATTGTTTCCACATAGAAATGAGGTTTGGGAGGAGATCTGAGGAAAGATGTAAAAGGTCTTAAATATGCAATTGGTGAGTCAAAACTATCTGAGAGTTGATAATCTATTATTAGGAAGAAAATGCAACTTCCACTTGGATGAAGCTAGATGAATTTCACCAAGTTTATGCTAAACTTCTGGGCCACTGTGTTTCCAACACATGAAAAATAATGATCCCTCCAGGGAAAACAGAAAAATAGACAAGGCCACTGACTCATTACTACAAATTGGTCATGGACTTGAAGTATTAACTTCACATTGATTGTTTCTTACTTATTACTGCAGATGGAAGTCTCATGCCATCCACGAGTAAAGCCAAAAAATTAGCAGATGTCACCAATGCCAATCTGCTGATGTTTAAAAATGGAACAAGTGAATCAGCGAAGTATTTAGGAAAGTCAGTCTCTGCCAACCATTCTGTCATCAGGAGCCTTGTATGGACAGTATGGTCTATGTGTCATCAGGGTCCCTCATAATGATCACGAGAAAGAAAATGGAAGCCTATATATCTCAAGCATAACTATGAGCATCTACTATGTTTATAAATGCCACATGGCAGAGATATTTTTAAAGTCTCAAACAGTATTTAAAGCTAATTACTAAGGCAATGGTTCCCTGTTATTATTGTCATTGTCAGTGTCATCATCAAAAAAACAAATGGCACCATTTAAAGTAAGACACGAACTCTTTCCTTGGGAAGCACATATTTTGATAACAATACTAATTTGCATTGGGCAAGAAACACATAATAAGTAAATGTGCATGGGACTAATACAGCAAAATCTAACATAGGCACAATAAAAATTATAAAAGACAGTATAATTTATAGAAATTATACTGTAGATATGAGACAGAAATTGTGCTAGGCATTCTATAGGCATCACGGTACCATATCTCATAGCAATACTGTGGAGTTGGGTTTATTATCACCCTCATGTTACAGTAGACTTGGAGGAGTAGAGTAATTTACATGGCAAGTACCAGTATCAGATGTAGAAACCAGTCTCTGATGCTGTCGGGGAATCTTGTTGATATTGATGGCCTAGTGCCCATCCTCAAATCCAGTCAGCACCTTGTGTTTCCTTTGGAGGAATTGCTCCTCCTCCATGGTGGGTAGTTTTGTAGTTCAAAAACTCCACACAATCTGTTCTTCCTCCATGAAGGCAAAGAGATGCCAGGAGTAGCCTGTGGCCAGATTCTTCCTGTGGCAAGGATCCGAATGGAAGGCTTTCTAAGATCCAAATCTGGCCAACTGGATTCTCCCTACTCAATCCCGACATAAGGAAGGAAGAAACTGTCCCTGCCAGGAGTCACTGTCCTGGTTTCTGTCCCACCTCTACACCTGTCTCCCCAGATGTCCATCAATTTGGAGTATTATACTCACCAATATCCTAATAAGTAGAACCAGTGTTGTTCATGACCAAAGAACCTAATGCTTTAAAGTAAATGTGCTTTCAGCTGATTCAATCCCAATCACTCCAAGAAAGTACAATATTTTTACCTTCATTTCAAATACTGAAATAACTGCACAAATAATAGAATAGATAGAAGTCCTTGTAATAAACAGAATAATTTACAAATCAAAGCAATGTTGACCTTTATTTTCATTGTGACTGATATTATTATGTAAATTCAGCATTGGGAAATTGTTACATCTATGTAATAGTTTATCCTCTAGGTAGAATTTTTCTTACATTACCATTTGTCCTATTTCTGACAAGACCCCTGTCTTTGCAATACAACAGTAATTGCAGCTGCTGTGTTTACATTAAATCAATTTTTGAATGTGTGGGTAATGCACAGTGATTTTCAAGCTTGGAAATATGAAGAAACTGAGGCTTAGATAAATTAAGTAACTTTCAGACAGTAACATTTTTAAGAAACCATGAAGCTAGCCCTTGAACCTGGTCTGTTTGAGCCCAAAGCATTACATACTCCTTCTCAGCCTGCTCAGCTGCTGGGCTGAAAGCTTAGGCTCCTCCTCTTCACTATAACCACTCAAGGTTGACTTCATAATCACCGCTACACAGATATGAATATTAAGAGTTGGAGAAGTTCAATGTCCTGCCACAATCACATACATGATAGCTGAGTCTGGTACAATGAGAATGTCTTTGTAATATTAACATTATTACTGCATTGAGATACCTGGGAGATTTTGTGTGTGGATTTAGTAAAAACATAGTCGTAGCAGGTTGATAAAACAACCAGGATTCCCCTGGTGCATTTCCCTGGTGGTTCCCCTTGGTACTTCCAAAAAAAAAACGAAGTACTTTTCTCAATTACATTTGATTATTTTAAGCCAGGAAGTCAATAGTAGATGCTCAATTAAATATGAGCTGACCCAGTGAAGCCAACCTCATTAAAACATTGGTCTTCATCTAATGCTCTTTGGCGAACAGAGACTTCTGAAGTGAAAAGGGAATTTGGAATTGAATTATTCCCATTATTTTATCCCGGTGAGGAAAGTAAAGGCCAAGACTTATCAAGGTTGCAGAATTTCTGAGTTGCAAATGGGTAACCGGGCTACAAGTCTAGATTCTCAGGTGAGTGCTCTTTCCATTGGATACTTCCTCCTCGAGTACAATTTAAATGGAAAACACAAATGAGCTTAAGAGAACATCAGTGGCCTAATTAGATTATAAAGTTGTGATTTAAAAAAAAAACATTTTTATGTAAAGCCATTTTCCTACTGAACAGATTCTGGGTGTATGAGTTCAGATGAATTTTAAGGTTGCCCAGTTGATGGTTAATTAACAAAATTTTAGAAGAAAAAATAACTAGTGTGATGAAGGTGGTGGGAGCAGAAAAAAAATGTGGGCTTCTTGCTCACATTCCCACCTCTAAACGTTCTCTAGACCCACAAGGTATTCCCTTTGTACTCAACTAAGTGATCTCCAGGTATTCGTTCCCTCTGACAGCTAAGCAATCTTAAGATTTTGAGATTTTGATTGGTGGTTCGTTTCAGTGCTCCCACACAGTTCTGTAGAGCTCTACCCCCATCCCTGAAGTGCACTGACTTAGCCCTTGCACTAGATATGCCTTATTTTCCATCTTCTCTCACATTTAGACAGGCGTTTAGGCAATTTCTAAGAAACAGTGTCTTTGTTCTTTTTCTTGTATAACATCTAGCAATATGACAATTAATGAACATGAAAGGAAAATAACAAGACACAGGCCCAAAAGATGATTTAAGCATCAAAACCATTTTTGGAGGTTTTGATGGTGACATTTTAAAAAATATATAAGGGAAAATAGAGGGACTGGCTATCATTTTATTTTTTCCTAAATTTGTTTTACAACACAAGGCCTATGAACCACAGTCTGTAACCCATTAGAATGGAGACTTGGACTGATCAGCATTAGCAGCTGTGGCTGCTCTTTAGACCTGGGACACACATCCAGCAGCTGGATGGGGAACTCCCTGGCTGAGAGCCAGCTAACT